TTGAAACTTTATAAAACTAGGAAAGCTAATTACTTAATTGTCAAGATTCTACATGTCAATCATCAAGAAAATTAATAATGTGAAATATACCTTAATTCTTTGGGAATAAATTCTTATTACTGTATCTTGGTTCTAGATCTTGAATCTTGATTATTGGCTCTTTTGATTCTTAAGTTTTTTATCTTCATTTTCGATATATTTTCTCTATTAATTCTTGTTGTTGACATACAAAAAGTGTAGTCCAAATCGAATAATTTAATGGATGAAACTCAGTTAAGAAGTCCAAGATGAAGGCCCAAATAGGACCATTAATGAATGCAGTGGAGGTCCACGAACAAGATACTATCATCGCTCAAACTTGCAAGATGCCTAAGATCTGAGCGAGTGGAGCGCCGTAAGATCGCCTAGAGCGAACGAGCCTACTTTCGCCCAAACCTTCGAATCGCCCATGATCTTAGCAAACATAAGGTATTATGATTATCCAGAGCAACAGTTATTGAAGCGGTTATTGAGCAATCTTATTACACCCCACGATCCAAAAATCACAATTTAGGCGGTTGAACGACGAGAGTAATGACGACAGTTAAAGACGACAGTTCCAAGACAAGTCAGCCATCATGAAGAAAATGGGTAGTTATAGAGCAATCAAGCAATTTCAAAGCGGTTTGTCATGAAAGAATTATCAATGAAGTAAAAAAAGGAAAAGAAGATATAGAGAAAAGACTCCGAATCAAACACTCTCGAACAGAAAATATTTAATTTTAATTTCTTAGTTTAACTTTAAACATTTCTTTTAGTACTTGTGTACTTGCGCTCCTTGGAGGCATTCTGTTTATTTCCAATTGTAAATCATTGTCAATAAAACATCCATTTTTAGGACTTTGTCTTAAGATGTCTATTCATTACACAATCGTTTGAATCTTTTTTAATTGTTAGCGACAACCCGTGCGAAACGCTTGTATTATGAGATGATACAAAAAACGAGAAGTTGCATATGAATTGGAGACTATAACCCAATTTATAATTTCCATATGTATTTGACCTATTGGCAAATACAACCGTAATGGAATCCGTTCTCTACACATATAATTCAGCTGACACGTTATTTAGATGTCTTAAGTCAAACAATTTAATTCTTTATTAGATCACTTTAATTAGATTCAACTTTAGGATAACTTTATACACAATTAATTAGGAAAAATTACCTAGAAACCTATATTTAAAGACTGATTTCATAAATAAGGAGAATTAGTTTTAAATTCATAAATCATTTGTTAATTAAGAATTATTAATTTAATTAATATAGATTTATTATAACCTACCCCGCACCACCCATCCCCAAATTTCAATCCTACCCTCAGCACCCCTTTCCCAAATCACTTATCTCCACTCTCTCTTTCTCTCTTCGCTCTCTACCATTCTCTCTTGACGACAAACTACCGTCGGAGGCACGATGACACAAGCAATGAGCGTCAAAATCGCAACGTCGTTTTCTTGGCAACATACCATCGCCGGAGGCA